GATGCTGATGCAGGAACGCCGCAGGGGATTGGCCAAAGTGAGGCAGAAGAGTGCCCGTGGTGACCGCTGGGCACTGGCCACTGCCACAGTCTTGTGTTTGCTGTGTTGGGTTCTTCGCTTAGGGGTCCCTGGACCTGATGTCCCACTGCTTTCATCCCCCACAGCTGGGGGCTCAGAGCACAGCCCCCATTCAGGACCCGGGCCTGCTCCATTGGCTGAACTGGGCTCTGGGATGGTATCTGTGTGGAGAAATCAAGTCAGGGAGGGACAGAGTATTTGAGCAATCATGACTGCCTCCCACTGATCCCATCTCTCTGTCTGAAGGAAGGAGAGAAGAACATGTAAAATGAAGGAGAATTTGGGGTGTCTGAATTAAGGGTTTGGGGTAAGTTGGTGTTGAGGTTAAAATTGGGGGTAGATTGAGAGTTTTTAGGGGAGTGGAGGTGAAGCTACATTTCCAAGTAAAGTAGGTTTTGTGCTAGACTTGAAGGTAGAGTTTAAATTTCCATGGAGTAGGAATAGGGGTCAGCAGGTGGCATGGTTAAGGGCGCTGGACTCATACATGACTGACTGTCCCTCGGTTGCTCTGGTCAAACTTAAATAAATAAATAAAGTTAAATAAAATTACTCTTACAAATTTTTCAGGGAGTAGGATTATGTTTATAGTTGGTGGCAATATTTTTAAATAGATTTTAGATTTTTGCCGTAGGGTGTGTGCGCTTGCCAGAGAGAGAGAGAGAGAGAGAGAGAGAAAGCAAGAAATCACCACTTGGGGTATGGCCACGCTGCAATCCCTTTTCCTCCATTCTCCTCTCGGGACTTTGGGCACACACACACGCACCCAGCATGAGTTTCAAGCTACCGGGCCTGGGACTTAAACCATGGTCAGCCACATGGCAGTCCAGTGCCTTAACCACTACGCCACCTGCTGGTGTCAAATTTAAGGTTAAGTTTGAATGGTAGATTTTGGGTTGGAGTGGGGTTAGGTTTGAGTGGGGTTGAAATTTGATTTAGGATTAGGACTGGTTGAATGAATTGGGATTATTATTAGGATCAAGGTTAAGGTTGCAGTTGAGTTTTGAATGGGATTTGAATTTTGCATTGGGATTTTCAACTGAGGCTATCTCCAGTTCCCATGGCCTTGTTTCAGCCTTCAAGGGTGAGTAGGTTGGCCTGGTTAAGATCTTCAGCTTTAGAGGAAACATGCTGTCTGAGTTTAAATTCTGACTTGTAGCACTTTGTAGCTGTGTGGTGCATGACCAACTGTAATCTCTCTGAACCTCAATTTCACCATTTTTATAATAAGGATGATAATAAGAATACCAACAGTATAGGGGTGTTGTGAGAATGAAAAGAATTCACCATTCAGAAGAATTCCTGACATAGTATTATTCCCATTTTGCAGGTGAGGACATTGAGGCAGAAAGTTTAAATGACTTGAAGTCGTTGAATTGAGAGTCAAACTCAGACAGTCAGACTCCAGGGCCCTTACAATTTACCACCATCAAGTACATGTTCTCCCTGTCTTTTTGTTGTTGTTGCTGCTCTGTTTTTAAAAGGGCCTGTGCTCTTTCTGTAAAGTCAGAGACTGCACTCACGAACATTACTGACAGCTGAAGATTGAGGTTAAGGTTAGGTGACTTTAGAGCACATGGTAAGGTCTGTATCCAGGCTGGGGTTTGGACTCTTAACGGGGGCTTGCCTTCTGGTTGGTAGAGTTTGTGTTATGGGGCTGACTTGAGCTGGAGTTGGGGTGGGTGCTAGGACGGGCTAGGGCTAAGATGGAGGTTAAGTTCATTTGGCAGCTAATGTTGTGGATGGGGCTGGGAGGTCATGGAAAGGAGTGTCTGGAGCAGGCTAAGCGACAGGGCTCAGGTGAGAGAGAGGCTCAGGTGGCAGAAAGGATGGCTGGAATGGGAACAGGGTGGATGTGATTCTGCTCCTCCGGAGGTGCTCCATGGGTGGGGTTCGGGTGGGCAGGGGTGGGTCAGAGGGACTGAGGGTGGAGCAGAGCCCAGGCTTGCTCCAAGGGTCTGCAGGGGTGGAAGGCTGCTCTCACCTTTCCCGCCTTCAGATTCCGACATCCTTCTTTCGAGATTGAAGGGCCATCTGCACCCCGCCATCAGACAGTCAGACTCCAGGGCCCTTACAATTTACCACCATCAAGTACATGTTCTCCCTGTCTTTTTGTTGTTGTTGCTGCTCTGTTTTTAAAAGGGCCTGTGCTCTTTCTGTAAAGTCAGAGACTGCACTCACGAACATTACTGACAGCTGAAGATTGAGGTTAAGGTTAGGTGACTTTAGAGCACATGGTAAGGTCTGTATCCAGGCTGGGGTTTGGACTCTTAACGGGGGCTTGCCTTCTGGTTGGTAGAGTTTGTGTTATGGGGCTGACTTGAGCTGGAGTTGGGGTGGGTGCTAGGACAGGGGCTAGGGCTAAGATGGAGGTTAAGTTCATTTGGCAGCTAATGTTGTGGATGGGGCTGGGAGGTCATGGAAAGGAGTGTCTGGAGCAGGCTAAGCGACAGGGCTCAGGTGAGAGAGAGGCTCAGGTGGCAGAAAGGATGGCTGGAATGGGAACAGGGTGGATGTGATTCTGCTCCTCCGGAGGTGCTCCATGGGTGGGGTTCGGGTGGGCAGGGGTGGGTCAGAGGGACTGAGGGTGGAGCAGAGCCCAGGCTTGCTCCAAGGGTCTGCAGGGGTGGAAGGCTGCTCTCACCTTTCCCGCCTTCAGATTCCGACATCCTTCTTTCGAGATTGAAGGGCCATCTGCACACAGCCCCCCTCTCTTCCCCCAGCTTTGGAGGGATTAAGGTCACAGGGCGGGGCAATAACAGGGTTGGATGGGAGGGAGAACAGGGGCGCAAATGGGACATTTGCGGGCTGGAGCCTGGCAACAGAAAAGGCATCAGTGAAACGTTTAACATGCTCCAAATAATTAGAAACTAAAATAAGAAAAAATGGTATCATTTTCCAACAGTATCTGAAGTTTTAAGTATGTCAGAAAAAGCTAAAATAATATGTGTGTGGCCCAACTGTGGTGGTGCAGATGTAACCCAATGCTTTGTAATGCTGGAAGCCACGGGAGTTTTGTTCCTGGGTCAATTTATACATGCTGGGGACACACACATGAATGTCCCTGATCCTAGAGGGCTGGAAAAAGCTGTGGGGGAGGGATTTCAGTGTGAGACTCCATTAAGATTACCTCTCTTCTTTTCTCCCTCTTGTTCCCCCCACTGCTTCTGTCATGAAAAAAAATAAACAAACTTAAAAATATACATACGCTAGCTGGCCTCATGGCCTGGTGGCTAAGGGAGCTGGATCTCCCATGGCTGACAGCTGGCAGTTCAAATCCCAGACTGGGTGGCTTGAAAAACACACCAGGCACATGTGCATACCTGCCCCAAATCCCAAAAAGATGAGGAAAATGAAGGAGAAGGGATTTTGGCATGACCACGCCACACTGGGGTGTGCTTTCTCCTTCTCCCTTACTCTCTGTCTCTATCTCGGAAGTTCACATGCCCTCTGGCAAATTTTAAAGAAAGGATGTATGAGGGCTGGCAGGTGACTTGGTGGTTAAGGACACTGGACTCCTGTGTGGTCGACCGCAATTCGAGTCCTGGACCTGGCGGCTTGCTTTCTAATTTTAGTATATGTGCTGCCAAAGCAAGCACAGCAACTTGCTTTCTCACTTTCTCTCTCTCTCCCTCTATGGTCAAATTAAAGTAAATAAATTAATAAATGAGGTTAAAAAAAAAACAACCCAGAATGTATGTATGTGCAATATATCCATGGAAAAAATGATAAAATATTGTCAGATATTAAAGGGCACCTAAATAAGTGAAGAAATAGATAATGTTTACAGATCAAAATATTCAATATTGTGAAAATGTCAAAGCCTTCCAAAGTGGGGCCAGTTGATGATGTGGAGGTTAATGTAGCTGGATCAAATGTGGCTGACTGTGAGGTTTGGGTCTTAGACTCAGAGGCTTGAGAAATGTGCCCAGTGTATGTGCATGCGTATCCATAATCCCAAGAGGAGAATGGAAGAGAAGGGACTGTGGTCTGGCCATTCTCCCTCCGGGGGGTGCTTTCTCACTTTCCTTCTCTGTCTCTGTCTCTCTGTCTTTGTCCAGCAAACGCATGTGCCCTATAGCAAATATATTTTTAAAAAATCTTTCCAAAGCAGTCTAGTAGTTCAACGCAATCCAAAACAAAATCTCAAAAGATTTTTCTGAGAAATTTGACAAATTGATTCTAAAATCAGTATATTGATGTATGAAGGACATAGAAAAGCCAAAATCCTTTGAAAGAAAACAGGATGGGAGGACTTGCCATATTTGATATCAAGGCTTGTTATAAAGCTACAATGATCAAAAACAATAGATTCAGAACATGAGCCATACAAACATATGGCTTATGACAAACATTGGCACCACTGAGTAGTGAAGACAGGATAGACTTTTCAATAAATAGTGGTTACATAGGTATTTGTTGTGATCTTTGGGGTATACAGATATGTTACAGCACATTAAAGGATTTATCGAATGTACGAACACTAGTAACTATAACCTAACATAGTGCTCTCTTACTGTATAATGTGTCAGACATAGTACAACATGCTTTACATAAATTGCTTACATTTTAATCCCACGAAACAGGCACTCTCAATTGTCCCATTTTATAGATGAGGAAGCTAAGATACAGAAGCAGTCACTTTGCGCTAAAATTGCTTTTAAATTGTACCCTTTTACAGGAAAATTAATACTGTCTTCAATGGATGAATCAAAAAGCCCCACTCTGTCCTACGCCGCCTCACGCCACTATACACGCGCGCGCGCGAAAACACGTTCTTTTTCCCTTTGAAGAGCTCATTGTACTGCGGGTGGAAAAACTACCATTCCCAGCAGCCATTGCGTGCGCAAGCCTGCGCGCGTACACTCACTCCAAGCCCCCACGCATCCGGGATACGTCACACTTTCTCATGGAACTACATTTCCCAACTCTCCTCGCGCGGCCCGTGACACTTGGTGGACCCTGAACGCGGAGCGGGGTTTCAACCGCTGCGCCCCACTTTCTCGGACGCGGCCCTGGACCTGGCCCCTGGCTACGGCACGGCTTCACCATGGAGGAGGCGGACCGAATTCTCATCCATTCCCTGCGCCAGGCTGGCACGTAAGGACATAGCCCCTCTCCACCCGCAAATGCCACATCCGGGATTCCAAAACCTGGGACCCTATTACCCGGGAACCTTAAAAGCTGGGACATTGTTATCCAGGATCCCAACTTCCAGGACCTTAAGATCCCACCCCCTTACACACTCACGCACTTATACACTCAACACACATACCCTGATATCCAAGGTTTCCCAACATCTGGAAAGCTCCAAACTCTGGGACCAACCTTTCTGACACTGTAGAACCTTGGAACCTCAAAATCCCTGATATCTGTCGATCTTGACATCTATACTCTGGGGCCCTGATATCTGGAGACCCTAAGATACTTGTACCCTGAGAATTAAAGAACTTAAAATTCAGGACCCTGGCACTGGGGGAGTCCCCAGTCTCTTGGACAGATACTTAAAAGCCTTCAAACTCCAGTTCCCCAAATATATGGGGCATTTTAACCCCCAGGACTGTAAAATCTGGTGACATTAGTACTTGGTCACCTTGACACAGAAGGACCCTTCCATTCAAGGGCTTTAAAAATCTAGATGCCAACATCTAGAGAAACCAGGAGGTCTTGATATCTAGGAATCTTTATACCTAGAGACCTTGACATTTGGAACTCCTGAAAATCCCAGATTTCCAATTTCTAGTCTCCTCAAAACCCTAGCAACTCAATATCTGGAGGTCCCTGACATGCAGAGAACATGATTATCTGGGGATCCAGAAACTCAGAGACCATACCACCTCCAAATTTGAGGTTTTTAAGCATAGGGGAAATTTGAAATTTTTCCACATTCAGGTCCCTTCCATATCCTGTTCTACACCAAGGTCTTAGGACCTGAAAATTTCCCTAGTTCTTAGTTTTCTAAATGGAAGTCACAGTCACCAACACCCCAGAGTCTGTCTGGATTGGGGGCATCCTCTCCACTCCCATTCTGGTACCTAGTGCTTCCAGAAGGCTCTATGGTTCAGCCTGATCTCTGTATCCTGACTACTCTTCCCATCAAACCTGCCCCTTTCTTCTTCAGGGCAGTTCCTCCAGATGTGCAGACACTGCGAGCCTTCACCACTGAGCTGGTTGTAGAGGCTGTGGTCCGCTGTCTGCGTGTGATCAACCCTGCGGTAGGCTCTGGCCTCAGCCCCCTGCTGCCTCTCGCCATGTCTGCCCGGTTCCGCCTGGCCATGAGCCTGGCTCAGGCCTGCATGGTGAGTGCCCTCCTCTCAATATACATATCCTCTTCCTTCCTCCTTCACAAAGTCACCAGACTCCTTTGAAACTCTTGCCTTTCCTCTCGGCCACCTCCCCTTGTGGCTTACCGCTCATTAGTGGTTAAGGCTACTGGATGTATGGTCAAACTGCCTGAGTAGTTTAGACCCCAGCTCCTCCGCTTGCAAACTAACCCTTCTGGGTCTTGGTTTTCCTATCTAAGAGATGGAGATGGTAAAAGTAGGGCTGTTGTGAGGAGTCAATGAGTTGGTCTTGTTTAAATCTGGGCTGCCTCTGGCTTTCACATTTTAACCTTGGAACCAAAATCCCCCTCACCTTCATAGTATCCATTTACCAATTCCATAAAAGTTTCTGCTTGGGTAACATACTCATTCCTTTTTTTTTTTTTAAATAATGATTTTATTTAACTTTATTTATTTAAATTTGACTAGAGAGGGACAGAGCAAAAGAGAGAGAGTGGGAAAGTGAGAGAGCAATCCACCAGGGTGACCAGCAGTTAGCGTAATGGCTATGTCACTGGACTCCCATGTAGTCGCCCGTGATTCATGTCCTGGACCTGGTGGCTTAAAACTCACGCTGGGCGCATGTGCATGCGTGCCCAAGATCCCAAGAGAAGAATGGAGGAGAAGGTATTGAGAAATCACCTCTGGGGGGTGATTTCTCACTTTCTCTCTCTCTCTCTCCCTCTCTCTGGCGAGTGCACACGTCCTATGGCAAAAACCTCTCCAAAAAATAAAAAATAAAAAGCAAGTCACCAGGTCTGGGACTCCAACCATAGCTGGCCATGTGGGAGTCCAGTGCCCTTAACCAGCGTGCTACCTGCTGGCCCCCATGCTCACTTCTAAACTAATCACTATATGCTCTGATTTGCCCAGCTTGGCTCACATGGTCATCCCTATAAGGACACATGATTGGCTGCTCCTTCAGGATCTCATGGAGTTGAGGGAGGGATGTATGTGCTGGTCAAGTAATAGTGTCATGGTCACCTTACTCTTGCGCAACCACAGATATCCTGCCTCTCCTGGCAGATCTCTTATGGGTGCTCAATGTTTGTTGAATGACTGAATGTGAAAATGGTAGCTGTATAGATAGGCATCTTCAAAATGTTCTTAAGACAGATAAAGTGTCTTCCTGACTCATTCCTCCATAGTACAGAGCTGTGTCCAGTTACTATGTTCAAGAGCTCTGAGTAATGCCTGTTTTTGTGGCTCACTAGCTCTGTGGCTTTGGGCCAATCTTTCAACCTCTTCTGGCCTAACTTTTCACATGTGTAAAGTGAGTATAAGAATTATACAGTCCACGTAGGGTTGCCATGAAGACTAAAAAATGAGTTCACACGTGACAAGTTGGATATAGTAAGTGTTGTGTAAGTGGTGTTGCTGTGTTAGATAGGGAAGATATGGCTGCTTGCGTTTCAGCAACTTGTGGCTACACAGTGAATAGAAACATTTCCAGCACACCCAATGCTATATAGGATCATAGAGGGACAATAGATTAACTCCAGTGAATACTTCTAATTTGGGGCTGGTGGTAATGGTGCAGCAGTAATATAAACCTCTGTGATGCTGGCCTGGCATGGGAAGATCCTGGGTTCATGTCCTGAGGTCTCCCCATGCACAGTGGGCATCTGCATGTGTGCCTGTGACTGGGCTGGCTGAGGCTGGGGTGGATTGCAGTGTGAAAGCCTTGCTGGAGTTTTCTTTCTGTCTCTCATGGAAGAAATAAAATAAACTTAAAACAAATCAAATTCCTTCAGAAAAAGAGGACAGGGTGCTTAGAGTTGTTGAATTTGGGCCTTGCTTGAGCAGTTTCTGTCTCTTAGCAATAGGCCTTGGAGCTCTGTTCATGCCTTCACTCTCAAGTTTACTTCGTTCTCAGGAATTCTCATGCTCATCTGCCTGGGGCCCTTGGTGGCTTTACAAGACAGGCAGTCTGTCTCCTGGCCTAGAGTTGTGTTTTTGATGATGGTACTTTAAATGTGTATGTGTTTATTTTTAAATTGAAAAAATTGATTTTGGGCATGCGTGCATACATGCCCAATGTGTTTTATTTATTTATTTTTTTTGGAGAGGTTTTCGCTATAGGGCGCGTGCGCTCGCCAGACAGAGAGAGACAGAGAGACAGAAAGCGAGAAATCACCCTCCAGGGGGGATGGCCACGCCACAATCCCTTCTCCTCCATTCTCCTCTCGGGATCTTGGGCATGCATGCACACGCGCCCGGCGTGAGTTTCAAGCCACCGGGTCTGGGACGCGAACTGCGGTCGACTATGTAGGAGGCCAGCGACATAGCCATTACGCTAACTGCCGGTTCCTCCCAATGTGTTTTTCAAGCCACTGCGTCCAGGACTCAAACCGTGCAGTCGGCTATGTGGGATCTAGCTGCCTTCACTACCACACTACCTGCTGGTTCTATTTTGAATTTTTGGAGAGGTTTTTGCTATAGGGCGCATGTGCTCGCTAGAGAGACAGACAGAAAGTGAGAAATCACCCCCCAGGGGTTGTGGCCATGCCACAATCCCTTCTTCTCCATTCTCCTCTCAGGATCTTAAGCATGCACGCACACACACCCAGCGTGAGTTTAAGCCACTGGGGTCTAGGGCTCAAACCATGGTTGCCTACATGGGAGTCCAGCAACATAGCCATTAGGCCAACTGCTGGTCCCCTATTTTTAAATTTTTAAGAAAGTTTATTTATTTATTTATTCCATGAATAAGTGAAAGAAGGAGAGAGAGAGAGAGAGAGACAGAGAAACAGCAACCCTGACAGGGTCCTCATACCATAGTCTATCCTCAGCCAGCTCCAGATCATGAGCACGTGCATGCCAGGAGTACTCAGGGAGGCACAAACCTGAAACCTCCCTCTCAGGGCTGTATCCCACTGGGTTTTGTGTTTACCTGATTTTGCTCACACTAAATTTAATAATTCTTTTTTTAAACTAATTATTTATTTAACTATCTGTTATCATTCTTTTTCTTTTTCTTTTTTTTTTTTTTGAGAGGTTTTTGCTACAGGGTGTGTGTGCTCGCCAGAAAGACAGAGGGAGACAGAGAGACAGAAAGCAAGAGATCACCCCCCAGGGGGGATGGCCACGCCGCAATCCCTTCTCCTCCATTCTCCTCTCGGGATCTTGGGCACACACACATGCACCCGGTGTGAGTTTTAAGCCACCGGGTCTGGGATGCGAACCGCGGTCAACTACATGGGAGTCCAGAGACATATCCATTATGCTAACTGCTGGTCCCTCATTATTTTTCTTTTAAGTTGACCAGAGAGAGACAGAGAGAGAGAGAGAGTGAGAATGTGGCTCACCAGGGAGAGAGAGAGAGAGAGACAGAGACAGAGACAATGAGAGGGAAAGTGAGAAATCACTCCCTAGTGGGGTTAGCCATACTGTAATCCCTTCTTCTACATTCTCCTCCTGGGATGTTGGGCACACATGGACCCATGCCAAGCATGAGTTTCAAGCCACCAGGTCCAGGACTAAAACCGTTGTTAGCCATGTGGGAGTCCAGTGATGTAACCATTCTGCCATCTGCTGGCCCTGAGTGTGACTATTTCAGTGGTCAAGAGGTAGATGGGATCATCGCTCTAGCAGCCTCCATTTGCTAGCAGCAGGAAGAAAGGGTCTTTCTTAACCCAGCTGTGTGAAACCCCGTAGGCCACCTTACCCCAGCCAGCACTGCCAGGTTCTGGTGTTTTCCTCTTCACGTGCCCTGCTCCTGGCACCAGTTTCTATGTCTCAGCCACATCTGTATTTTGGTATCTCACAGTGCACTCCCCACTCCTGGAACGAGTTTCTGTATCAGTCACAACTCTTTGATGGCAGATGTTGGAAAAAACTCAAAGTACCTTAAAAGCCAGTGGTTTTTGCACTTTTTTGACCATGACCCTCTGAAATAAATATATATGAACATCGTGACCTAGAGCACACAAGAATATATAATTCCTTTATGTGTGTGTGTGTGTGTGTGTGTGTGTGTATACACTCTGTGTGGTAACTTGGTGCTAACTCATTAAATTCTCATGATAACCTTCTGAGGTAGGTACTGTTGATATCCCTTTTTTTCATATGAAGAAAGTGAAGCACAGAGAGGTTACGTGACTTGCCTGAGGTCACACAGTTGATAAGAGGCAAAGCTTGGGTTTGAAGCCAGGGGGTCTGCTTTTAGAGTCCAGGAAGCTCCAAACCAACAGCAATTCTGGCGAAAAAGTGTTTTTCTTTTCTTCCCTAGCCTCTTTCCCAGTCTTCGTCCAGAGCTCTCCTGAGTCCTTTGATTCCAAGCTATTGTGTTGCTGGCCTTTTTTGCCCATTTATTTTTAGTCACTTTTTATATAATAGGTATATTTGCTCTTTGCCCATTATATGGGCTCCAGGTATTTACCCCCAGCTTATCATTACCCTTTTGACTTTGCTTATTGTATTTTTTTTTAATTTACCTTTCTTTTCATGTATTCAGAAATACCCATCTTCTCTATTCTGACCTCTGGATTTTGAGTCACAGTTAGGCCAGAGCTTTAATCTTCTTTCACTGTTTTATTGACTGTAATCACTCTGTGGCTCCCCCTTGCCTCAGAGTTGGGTGAGGTTCAGAGAGTGGTGGTTGGTGAGAGGGTGGGAGTGTTTGTGACCTAGGCCCAGGACTTTCAGGGCCAGAGGATCCTGCCTTCTCTGCTAATGGGGACCCCTCCCCAACTGCCAGGACCTTGGCTACCCTTTGGAGCTTGGCTATCAGAACTTCCTCTACCCCAGTGAGCCTGATCTCCGGGACCTGCTTCTCTTCTTGGCTGAACGGCTGCCCACTGATGCCTCTGAGGCTGCAGACCAGCCTGCAGGTTTGGGATGCCTGGGGCGGTGAGAGGAGAGGAGGGTATTCTAAGGGTTCTAGGAGCTTAGAGAGGTAGAAATGGTGACAAAGGTGATGGATGGGGTGGGAATATGTGTCTTTGGGAGAGCTAGGTGAGAGGATTAGGGATCAGAGAGGGGATGCAGGCCAGAGGTCTTGGGGATGGGATTAGGCTGTCCCAGGTAGTGAGTGCTGCTGGCAGGGGTGGGGGGGAGCTCCCTGTCATCGCCTGTGCCTTCCTTCTTGCTCACTCCATTCCAACCACATGGCCTCCTTGTTGCTTCTCAAACATGGCGGCCACATTCCAGCCTCAGAGCCCTCAGATATCCTCAGGGTACTCTCCCTTACCTCTTTGAGGTTTCCATTCAGCTGTCACCTCCGGGAGACCTTCTGCTGACTGTCTTACATGAAAGCTTCCTCTTAATAGTCCTTCTCCTCTCTATCTCAGCATCTGCCCGAGGTCCAGGCTACTTGCAAACCCACTCATGATCTCTCCCCTGTACTAGTTTGCCAGCTCCATGAGGGCATCGGTTTGTTCCCTGGTATCTGGAACAGTGACTGGTACATAGTAGGTGCTTAGTAAGTGGTTGCCGAATAAACGAATGTGAGAATGATAGTTGGAGAAGGAAGCATTGCTGGATGAGGAGTCAGGAGCACTGGCTGCACTTTTGGATTTGCAGTGTTGACACCTGATTAACACTTCCCCTTCCAGGTGACTCAGCTATTCTCCTCAGGGCTATTGGGAGCCAAATCCGGGACCAGCTAGCCCTGCCCTGGGTCCCCCCTTCCTTGCGTACTCCCAAGCTGCAGCACCTCCAGGTGGGACCTTCAACTCTTGTCGGTCTTCTCTTGTCCCTGCCTTGCCTCCCTTGTCCTCATCTGGGTGGGCAAGTTTTTGGGCCCCTCCTACCAGTGATCCCCATCTTGCTTCATTCTGGAGGCTCAGATTCCTTTCTCCCACTAGGGTTCAGCCCTCCAGAAGCCTTTCCATGCCAGCAGGCTGGTCATGCCTGAGTTGAGTTCCAGAGGAGGTGAGGAGGAGACTGTGGGGAGGTCTGGGAGGAGGGTGGAGGAGGGGTTGGCTAACTCTTTTCCTGTCTCCAGAACCACGGGAGTTCCAGGCCAGTCCCCTGCTGCCCCCAGCCCCGGCCCAGGTACCCCAGCTTGCTGGGAGGGCAGCCTCACTCCTCGAACACCACGCCATCCAGCTCTGCCAGCACACGGGCCGGGACCACCCAGGGGATGAGGACTGGCTCCGCCGGGCACCCCGCCTTGCACCCCAGGTACAACCCAAGGCTGGTTCCCTGCTCCTGCCCCCCAATACTCCTGTTTGTCTCCTCTCCCCTCTTCTTTCCTCACTTTGTTACTCTCTTTCATCATTTCCTCTCCATGTACACCTGCCTGGTGCCCCACCTGAAGGACATTGGAGCCAGAAAAATTGTGAACCTGGGACTAGTCAATATCCCTCCTTGGAGCCTCAGTTTTCTGCTCTGAAAACTGGGGTAGTAATAGCGCTCTCCTCTCGAGTTAGCAGTTTGACTGAATAACACACACAAAGTTTTGAGCAGCTAGTCCAGATAGGAGGGGTTACTACCTTCCCTGCTGTTTCTGCCACCTTCTTCCTGTCCCCACTCTTACTCTTTCTTTGTCTCTGCAGTTGTCACCAGTGTTCACTTTTCTGTCTCTAGGTTTTTGCACTGTCTCCTCCTGTCTTCCTCATGGTTTTGCTGCCCCTCTTTCTTGCCCCTCTCATTTCTGGATTGCATCTCTCTCCTCCTCTGTCTACTTTTTCATCTGTTCCCCCACCCCTCCATCCACTTCTTTATCTGTTTCCTTTTCCCTTTGTCCACTTCTGTATCTCTCCTCCCTTTCCTGTCTCCAACTTTTTATCACCTTTTTATCTGTCCCTTCTCCTCTTCCTCCCTGTCTACCTTTGTATCTGCTCCCTTCCCCTTTGCTGACCTTCATATCCATGTCTCTGTCTGTCCCTGCCTCCCTGGCTGACTTTCCTTCCACTTTTACCTCAGTCTCTCTCTTAGCGAGAATATTCTAATGAATTGACTATACCATTTGACAATGTCCTTTATTTTCTCCCAATCCTTTGCTCTATTGTTTTATTTTTCTTTTATTTATGTAAGGTCATGTGCACTTGCCAGAGAGAGACAGACAGACAGAGACAGAGAGAGGGGAAAGTGAGAAATCACACCCCATATGGGATGTTCATGCTGGAATCTCTTTTCCTCTAGTTTCCTCTTGGGATTTTGGGCATGTGTGCACACATGCCTGGTGTAACTTTCAAGCCACTGGGTCTGGGACTCGAACTGCAGTTGGCCGTGTGGGAGTCCAGTGCCTTAACCACCATGCCACCTGCTAGCCCCTATTTTTAGTTTACTATTATTATTATTTTGTCTAGAGGACATGTGCACTTGTCAGAGAAACAGAAAATGAGAAGGTACCTCCCATGAGGAATGGTCATGCCACAATCTCTTCTCCATCTCTCCCTCCCTTGGGGATTTTGGGCATGCATACACATGTACCTGGCATGTTTCTCAAGCCACTGGGTCTGGGACTAGAACCATGCAGTTGGCCATGTGGGATTCGGCTAACTTAACCACCAGGCCGTGGAGCTGGCCCAATTCTGTATTATTTTAAAGCAAATTCCAGACATTATGTCATTTCAAATCTAAACACTTAAGACTATATCTTTTAACTCAAAGGACATTAATTTGTTTTATTTTTGCTATAGGGTGTGTGCACTTGCTAGAGGGAGGGTGAGAGAGAGAGAGAGAGAGAGAGGGAGAAAGAAAGAATGAATCCTTCCCCCAGAGGGGATGGCCACTCCACATTCCCTTCTCTTCTATTTTCCTCTTGGGGATTTTGGGTATGCATGCACATGTGCCTGCTGTGATTTTCAAGCTACTGGGTCTGGGCCTCAAATTGTGCAGTCGTCCACGTGGGATCTAGCTGCCTTAACCTTCACACCACCTACTGGTCTCAAGGCATTCACTTTTTAAAATTTAATTTTATTTATTATTATTTTTAAATTAGACCAAAGAGAGATGGGGGTGGGGGGAATGAGAAAACAAGCTGCCAGGTCCAGGACTTGAACTACAGTTGGCCATGTGGGAGTCCAATGCCTTAACCACCACACCACCTGCCGGCCTTGGGGCATTCATTTTTTAAACTTAACATTGAACCGTTTTCACACCTAACAAGATCAACAGTGATCTCCTACTGCCACTTAATACTGAGTTCCTAATCAGTTTTCCCAGTTGTCATGAAACCAGCTCTGTTCTTGCCTCTCTGCCTTTCCTTTCTCTGACTCTGCTCACTTCTGTGTCTGGAACCTTTGATTCTTTGTCTCTTCTCTGTCTGTCTCGATGCCATCCTTTCTGTTTCTTTGTCTGATTTGGGGACTCCAGGCTTCATTCTCCTTCCAACATCCTTCTTCTGTGTGAGGAGTGAGTGTGTGGAGCAAAGTGTGGCTATGAGGAAAGAGGAAGCCCTGCCCTCCAAGATATCCCCAGCGATGGGGCAGGAGATTAGGTCAGGGGCCTGCCTTGGAGGGAAGCCAGAGGGTGGGTAGGACTTGACTGTAGCCCCTTGTGAGGCGGCCTTGGAAGAGGCAGGGGCTTGGCACCTGGTAGGCTTCCATACATTCCTTTTTCCCCTGCTTTCTCTTTCTAGGAGGATGCATGGGCTCGGCGGCAGCGGATGCAGAAGCAACTGGCTGAACATCTGCGCCAAAGTTGGGGTCCACTCAGGGCCCCCCCACAAGCCCGAGACCTGGGAGAGCTTCTGCAGGCCTGGGGTGCAGGGACCAGGACTGCTGCTCCCAAGGGATCCCGCTTCACACATTCAGAGAAGTTCACCTTCCACCTGGTGGGTGGGCCTGAGGGACATGGGGCGTATTACCAGGGCATGGCAGACTTGGCAGGTTGCTTTGTGTACATACACCACACTTGCATCTGCATGGGTTCCCATGTTCCCACAGGTTAGGATCTCTCCCTACTGGGAGTGGATCCCCAGAGGGATCCCTAGCACCTTGAGGTCTTCAGTGGTGAAAGGGTGGATAGGTGTGAATGATTAGGTTGTCAGGAAAGTCATGACACATTTTCCATTGCAAAAACATATCATGACTTTCCTGACAACCCAAAATGTAAGGGTATCAGGGGGCTGTAGGTATGAACCTGACTTTTCCCCAGGCAATTTCCTCTGGGTATGTCTTCTCCCATTGGATGCTCACCCAGGGGGGTTCCCATATTTTTCAGGGACATTTGAGGCATGAGAGACAGGGCAGGTGGTAGGAGCTGTGTCAGATCAGGGAGGTTTCTCCAGGGAGATGGCAGACAGTCCCTGTCCCCTCACACAGTCACAGTGTGACAGCCATCAGCAGTTAAGTGGGCATGGGCATAGCACTAGAAAAATGCTTCTGGGGGTGGGGGTCAAGACTGGACCATGAGGGGCAGGACCTTCTCTGACAGTCAGGATGTCTCTCTTCACTGCCTTAGGAGCCACAGGCTCAGGCAGCCCAGTTGTCAGATGTGCCGGCCAGCTCCCAGAGGCCTGAACAGGTGAGCAGAACAGAGAGGCGGATGGGTGGTCCTGGGCCCTTGCCTGTCTACTAGGCCTAACAGCCCTTACTCTGACTGGCCTGTGTCCCCCAGGATATGTGGGCAGCTCAAGAACAGGAGCTAGAGTCCCTTCGGGAGCAGCTGGAGGGAATGAACCGCAGCATTGAAGAGGTTGAAGCCAACATGAAAACCCTGGGAATCAGCCTTGTGCAGGTGAGTGGGTGAGCATGGAGCCACAGGAAGGGCAAGTCAGAATTAGGCCCTAGAAAGGTTTGAGAGACTTGGGACCAGCAGTTAACGTAATGGCTATGTTGCTGGACTCCCATGTAGTTGACTGGGGTTTGAGTCCCAGACCCGGTGGCTTAAACTCACTCCGGGCACGTGTGCATGTGTGCCCAAGATCCCGAGAGGAGAATGGAGGAGAAGGGATTGCGGCATGGCTATCCCCCCGGGGGGTGATTTCTCACTTTCTGTCTCTCTGTCTCTCTCTGTCTGTCTGGCGAGTACACATGCCCTATAGCAAAAACCTCTCCAAAAAAAAAAAAAAAAAGAGAGGTTTGAGGGACTTAGGGGTCTTAGTGGTATTCTGTAGAGGTCTACAGATATCAGAAGGGTTCATGGGGAACACTGAGGACCAGCAGGGCTCTTAAGGGTTCAGGAGAATTGATTGAGCTGAGGCAGGGATGAGGACTCAAGGGGCTTGGGAGACCTGTAGGGCCTAGAGACATCTGTGGGCCTTATAGGTGGCTGTGAGCATTAGGAGGGGTGTGAGGGTCTTTGGACATTTGTGGGGCAGGATGGGAATGTCCGGTCAGGGGTTTGTAGGGCACCTTAGAGCTCCTGGGCATCATTGTGGAACTGGAGGGGTCAGAGAGGCCTGGAGGAGGTAGAGGGGTGTATGGTCATCTGGGGGGTGGATCAAGCTGGGTCAGGGTTTCCAGGCTCAGTGGGAGACCAGGGACTATGGCATGTGACTGGGAGTGGGGTTGCTGGTGTGCCAGATGGAATCTGAGCGTCGGCAGAGCGAGTTCAGCACGGCAGAGCGTGAGCAGGCCCTGCGCTTGAAGAGCCGGGCAGTGGAGCTGCTGCCTGATGGGGCTGCCAACCTCGCCAAGCTGCAGGTAGGGATGGGGCTGGGACTGGGTAGGATGAGGCAGGGAGGGGCAGGGGGGGCACAGCCTTGGGACATGTATCCCCTTCCCCTAGCATGTGGTGGAGAGTAGTGCCCAGCGGGTCATCCACTTGGCAGGTCAGTGGGAAAAGCACCGTGTCCCACTCCTTGCTGAGTACCGCCACCTCCGAAAGCTTCAGGATTGTAGAGAGGTAAGTGGCAGGGTCTTGGGTGGGGCAGGTTCTGTCCCTCCCTCCCTAGGGAGGCATCCCTGAGCTCTGCTCACTGTCTTTTGCCATGGGATCCTGGCAGCTGGAATCTTCTCGACGGCTGGCAGAGATCCAGGAGTTGCACCAGAGTGTTCGGGCAGCTGCTGAAGAGGCCCGCAGGAAGGAGGAAGTCTATAAGCAGCTGGTAAGGCCTATGTGGAGGCCCTGGGAAGCCTGGATATGTGGGGTGTAAGTCCTGGGAGAGTGCCTGCTGTGTCCCTGCCTAGGTGTCAGAGCTGGAGACTCTACCCCGCGACGTGTCCCGGCTGGCCTATACTCAGCGCATCCTGGAGATTGTGGGCAACATCCGGAAGCAGAAGGAAGAGATCACTAAGGTGTACCACGTGGTCATGGAGGGTGGGTCATCTGGGCAGACTCACACAGCATGGTCACAGGGAAACCTCCCTCTGCTAGGCAGAGCTGTCCAGCTGCACCCTGACATAGAACAGTCATATATAGTCCACCCCAGCCACCCCTGAGGTGTTGACACAAGTCCTGCCTAGCTGTGAGAGTGTGCACGAGTACCACAGGCTAGCCACCTGCCCACTGACGTGGGCTCATGGCCACCCTGGTGTCTACCAGATCTTATCTGACACAAAGGAGCTCCAGAAGGAAATCAACTCCCTCTCTGGGAAGCTGGACCGAACGTTTGCAGTGACTGATGAGCTCGTGTTTAAGGTGTGGGGCAGGCTGGGTGGCAAGAGGGTTGGGGTGGCACTGGGCTGTTATCTGCCTATCTGTATGTGGGCCACCATGGGCCAAGGCCCTGTATGAACCTGGCAGGTACATAAATGCTTGGGCCTGGGTGGCTTTGTGGAAGGTGAAGTCAGAGGTGGGAGAGGGTGACTTGTGGGCATGAAGAGGGTGAGGTGGCCCACTGATACCTTTGAGGTCCCCTTTGTCTGGTCAGGATGCCAAGAAGGATGATGCTGTGCGGAAGGCCTACAAGTACCTAGCTGCCCTGCATGAGGTGAGGGAGACATTAGCTGGGGGCAGGGGAAGGGGCTGGCTGGGGAGGGGTTGGGCTGGGTGCAAGCCCCTGCTCCTGCTCTCCCCAGAACTGCAGCCAGCTCATCCAGACCATTGAGGACACAGGCACCATCATGCGGGAGGTTCGAGACCTTGAGGAACAGGTGAGGCCTGAGGATGGGAGGGGGAACCATGGCAGACCTAGTTTATGCTGAGAGGGGCGAGGGGCTGTGGGACCAGACACAGCCTAGGCCTGGAAGCTCAACCCTTCCCCTCAGTGCTTATGACCTGGGATGGCCCAGTGGCCTCCTCTAAGCCCCATTTTATACCTCCCAGGGGAGAGGAAAGAAGCCTTAGCTTGCAGATATGCTGGGGAATTTTGCCATGTGGCAAAGAGTGCTTTAGGTGGAGAGGATGACATGGGCAAAGGCCTGGCAGTGGGACAGAGCAGGCTGAGGTTGGAGGGGGTAACGTGGGTGAAGAGTGGCTGGAATGGAGGAGCTGTGAAAGGGGCTCTGCATGCTGAAGGGGTGTGTATTCACATCTCCTTAGATCGAGACGGAGATGGGCAAGAAGACCCTCAGCAACCTGGAGAAGATCCGTGAGGACTACCGAGCCCTTCGCCAGGAGAACGCTGGCCTCCTGGGTCGGGTCCGGGAGGCCTGAGGAGCAGCTTCCTGCGGAGGTCTCCCCCAGCCTTAGGCAGGGACTTGGAGTGCTTGAGGTGGTGGTCAAGTTCTCGCTCTGGCTGTTCCCAGCACTTGCTATCTAGTTCCTCCCACTGCAGCCTTGAATCCAGACCCCATCCATCTAGTCCCAATCCCAACCCTTATCTGGGGTGATCATCCAGCATTTGGGAGCTCTGCTGCAGTTTATTGGGGAGGGTACTGGGGGTTGAGAGGCCTTGGATCCCAAATAAATGAGGGGCTCTCCTGCAGTCTAAGCTGAGGCATGGATCGGGCTCAGGGCAATGAAGTAGGGTGGGTGGTAGGTGAGATGCAGGGTGTTTTGGCAGGTCAGTGTGTGTGGCCATGTGTGTCTGCATGGGACTTGGGAGACCCAATGTGAAGCTGTGTGGTGTGTGTGTGTGCGCATGTGTGCGAGGTATGTAGGTGAGTGCCAGTGGGCTGTGTTTGTGACCGAGCATATATGTTGGAAACCGTGTGAGACCATGCATAACCCGGTATGTGTCTGTGGCTTTCTGGGACCTCAGATGCTGAGGGTAGTGATGCTGCTGCAACTGGGCGGAATCTGGGCACAGCCCCGTGTAACACTGTGCCTGTGGGCCCAGAGGCTGGCTGTGGGTGTGTGCTTTGGGATGCTTGCGTGGATGGGACTTTCTGTATGTGGTTGTTGGTGTGACTGTGCAGCTCTGAGGCTGTCTGAGTGTATGGAGGCAGGCTCTATGGTTTGGGGTTTGCGTTGAGTTCAAGGGACAGTTGTGACCATCTGTGTGTTTGTGTGACTTTTCCAGCCCTGAGGTTGTCTGTGAGAATGGCTGAGGCAGGCTGTGTGTATGGCTGGCTATGGAGGCTCTAGTTGGCTGGAGAGCCCATCTTGGGGGGCTAGTGTGGGGGCTGGGGTCAGGATTGGGGGTCCTCTGAGCAGCCTTGGGGCAGAGGCTATGATCCAGGAAGGCAGCAGTCAGTTGGGGAGCAAGGGCCCTGACAAGCAAGACAGTAGACACCTCACTTCTTGGTCCCTGTGGGCATGTCCCCTGTGAGCCTCTCATCCCTGCCCTGACCTGCCACCTTTGCCTCCCATTTTGGCCTCTATCTGTCCATCCTTCTTTCCTTGGTTTTGAGGTTAGGGGCTGGGTGCAGGGTTGGAGCCTCTGCTGGGCCGCTGGCTCCTTTTCTTGCGGAACTCAAACTCATCCACGGTCCACACAGCTCCCTTCTCGCTCTCCACCCGCACGAAGCACTTGTGCAGGCTCAGGTTGTGACGGATGGCATTCTGTGGAAGGAGGATCGGCCGACCAGGCCAGGGGAGCAGGTGGCCAGTCACCCTCTGAGGTCAGGAGTCCCTGTCAGTGACTGACCTCCTGCCCTTTGCTAACAGGCTTGTAAGCTCAGCCCCAGGTTTGCCTGTTCCTTTTTTGTGGTGGCACTCAGGCCACCCAAGCCAGTGCCACCACCAAAGGAGCTCACCTTCCATGTGGCAGGATGGTTTCTGAAGAAGGCGAACATGCGTGTGAACCAGTGGTAGATCTCATTGAGGGTCCGCTGCTTCTCTGGAGCCTCCAGGATGGCCTGGAGTTTGGGAGGGTGGGGGTAAGGGAATATATCCCCACATTTGGCAGTGGGATGCAGTGGCATAAATCTGGGTTGTCTAACGTGGGGGTGGAATTGTGGGAGCAGGTGAAGGGGAGGGAAGAAATGGTGCGGGTGAAGGATCAGGGACAGAGTTGGATGTGTGGTGAGGGTTGAGTCAAGGAGTGGATTAGATGTGAGGTGCAGGTGTGGCCCAGATTAAGTAAAGGATCAAGACTGAGTTTGGGAGTGGGGTCCTATACAGGGTTAGAGCTGGAATGAGGTTAAAGGTCTGGGATGGAGCTGGAGTTGGGGTTCTCTGTGGAGGTGATATTTCAGGGTAAGGAAGGTACAGGGTCAGGAGTGGGGACAAGTTAAGGATTTGAAAGACGTGAGGAGCTGGGCAGCATTACAGTCAGGGAAGGAGTTGGTTAAGAGTCAGGCTAGAGGTGGACTAGGAGTTTTGGGGTGAAGGATGGGATAATGTGTGGCGTTAATTCAGGAGTCAGATGTGCGTAATATCAAGTATTTTGCGTGTCAGGGATATACTTAGGTTCAGGGTCAAAAATGAGGCTGTTGGTTAGATGTGGAGTGAAGATGGCAGTCAAGGTATTTGATCTGTTTGGACATGAGAATAGGATTAAAGAGTCAGTGATTATGATTGCAGTGAGGTGATGTGTCAGGATGGCCTTAGGTCAAAGGTTCAGTTCAGAAAGGGAATATATAACATGTTTGGGTTAGGTTAATGTTCATGTTTGGGGTTAGGTTTGGGGCTAAGATGATGTCTGGTGGGCTCTGGTGAAGATCTGGGGAAGGCATCAGAAGTTGAGATGATGGAGTAATGGGGTGAGGTTAAAGGTCAGATGGGTGCCGCAAGGAATGGTTAGGGATGGGGTCCAACAGGAGTATATTGGCATAATGGGGCACACTGGGGCTGGGGAAAGATAAGGGGTCAAACTGGCATAAAGTCTGGAGAAAGAGTAAGACCTGAGGTGGATTTAGGGCAAGGGTCAGAGGTGGAGTTCATTTTGGGGCTATTTTATAGGTCGAGGGTTGGGTGTAGGGTTGAGGTGGGTGCAGGTTCCGTACTAGCTGAATCCTAGCCTAGATGGAGGTGTAGGTTTGGGTTCAGGGACAGGTCTGGGGTGAAGACACACAGGGGAATCATGTTGGAGGTGTGACTTGGGGCTTCTCGGGTGGGGGCATTTCTGCAAGGCTCTACCCCAAGAGTGCTCAGTGGGAGGTGGGAGTTGAAGAGGCAGGTCCCCCATCCTTCTTTTTCTCCTTCCTCTTTGGGCTTACCCAGCGGATGAGGGTGGCATAGGTGAAAGGAGGCCGCATGTTGTGGAACTTGAAGTAGTCCATATTGTGAAAGAACTCTGTCAGGAGTGGGGAGGGCATGAATCAGGCGCCTGTCGGACCTCGTAGCTCACTGTCCCTCCCTCCCTCTATATGCCTGAATTCCTACCCACTGTCAACACCAACATCTATGGGCACCCAACACAAGCTACATCACCTACTCTTTGTACCACTCCTGCCAAAATGCCTCTCCCCAAGATTTAAAACAAGTGAAGTGACTTGCACACCAAAGGGATATAAATAGTTAAGTGGTGAAGGTAGGATGACACTCAAGGATTCTGATCCCTGTTAAGTTCACAGCCCAGGCTTGGCAGATAGTAGGGTGTTGGTTAGCTTGGGTGAATGCATCCTGATTTTCCTTGGTGGGGGGAAGAAAGGAGGGCCCTTAGGAAATATCAGTTCTTAGTTAGCTCCCTCCCTTCTGACGACTGGATGGAGTAACTGTAGCCCAGAGTGGGTGAGGCATGGCTCCAAACTCCAAGGGAGATGGCTAGAGCTAGACATTTGAGACCATAGTGGCGGGGCTTTCAGGCCATGGACATCTTGAGAGGAAGCTTTTGCAAACAGCTGCATTTTCCCAAAGGTTTGGGGGTGGGGGTGGAGATGAGGACGTAGAAGGGCACTAAGGAGCTCATTTGTACCCTGTACGGCACAGCCAATCAGGATTAGGAGCTTGGGGTCACCATGTAGAACGTGGACCATTCTTACCTGGGAATGTACTGTTTCCATGGCTGCCCCAGAGGTGCCTCCGCACAGCAAACAGGCTGTCAGGGGCCTCCCGTGGACCTGGCCAGGCTGGGACAACGCCTCCTTGAGTGCCAGCAGTCATGAGGCAGCAGGAGCCCTTGTCAGATGATGCCTAGTGGGGGGTGGGGGGTGGGGAGGGAGAAGGCTGGTGACTTGTCCATTCCAGCCTGGCATGGAATCTCATGAAGCAACTTGCACAGTGTTTATTGGTGTGTAGGTATAGACACTTGTGTGTGGCCATGATGCTGGGCTCATGGGCTGGTGTTGAATTGGGCCCCTCTGCCATGCAACTGCTATGGCCTTGGCACACTTAAACCTTCCTGGTCTCAAGTTTCCTTATCTGCAAATTGGAGAGGATAATGGTACCTACCTCCTGGTGGCATCACAAGCACTGAATAAGTTAACACCATCAAAATGCGCAGAAACAGTGCGTGGCTCCCCAAGGCCAGCTTCCTGGGCATGTGACCTGTGTGGTCACACAGGACCCCATGCTTTCTTTAAAGCTCTGTGGTCACCATTTGGAATTTGAAAAAAGGGTCTCATATTTTCATTTTGTAGTGGGTCCTGTGTGTTCTGGAGCTGGTCCTGCCAGCGGCACACAGTCTGCCTTCAGTGTTTGGCTTTTTGTTGTTTTGAAGACAGTATCATGATGTTTCATGGTCTTAGGGTATGAGGGTTTTTAAATGGAGTGGGGACAGTTCCCAGCTCTTGACATGTTTGGAGCTGGGGACAGGAGCCCATAGATCCCAGGGCCTGCATGTGAAAATAAGTTCCCTCTCCCCTGCAGGGCCCCTTCCCCTATCCCCCAGCAGTCTAAGTCTGCCACCTGTGGGTCTGGGGTTGCTCACCGCAGATGGAGCCTTGGTCAGTGCCATCTTCCCAGCCAGGTGGGCTTGCATCGCGCCCAGCTTCTCCTTCTCCAGCATCAGCTACAAGAATGGGTGTAAGAGTGAGGCCTGGGGAGGGCCAAGGCTGGTGACTTGTCCATTCCAGCCTGGCATGGAATCTCATGAAGCAACTTGCACAGTGTTTATTGGTGTGTAGGTATAGACACTTGTGTGTGGCCATGATGCTGGGCTCATGGGCTGGTGTTGAATTGGGCCCCTCTGCCATGCAACTGCTATGGCCTTGGCACACTTAAACCTTCCTGGTCTCAAGTTTCCTTATCTGCAAATTGGAGAGGATAATGGTACCTACCTCCTGGTGGCATCACAAGCACTGAATAAGTTAACACCATCAAAATGCGCAGAAACAGTGCGTGGCTCCCCAAGGCCAGCTTCCTGGGCATGTGACCTGTGTGGTCACACAGGACCCCATGCTTTCTTTAAAGCTCTGTGGTCACCATTTGGAATTTGAAAAAAGGGTCTCATATTTTCATTTTGTAGTGGGTCCTGTGTGTTCTGGAGCTGGTCCTGCCAGCGGCACACAGTCTGCCTTCAGTGTTTGGCTTTTTGTTGTTTTGAAGACAGTATCATGATGTTTCATGGTCTTAGGGTATGAGGGTTTTTAAATGGAGTGGGGACAGTTCCCAGCTCTTGACATGTTTGGAGCTGGGGACAGGAGCCCATAGATCCCAGGGCCTGCATGTGAAAATAAGTTCCCTCTCCCCTGCAGGGCCCCTTCCCCTATCCCCCAGCAGTCTAAGTCTGCCACCTGTGGGTCTGGGGTTGCTCACCGCAGATGGAGCCTTGGTCAGTGCCATCTTCCCAGCCAGGTGGGCTTGCATCGCGCCCAGCTTCTCCTTCTCCAGCATCAGCTACAAGAATGGGTGTAAGAGTGAGGCCTCGGCCTGCCCCTTTTCCACCATGCCTTTGCCCAGACTGTGTCTTTCCTTCAGGTATCCTACCCTCTTCCTGCCTTTCTGCCAGCCCTCATCCTGGGCTAGCTTGGTTCCTGGCGTGGGTGACTGTAACATTCACCCACCATCCACCATCCACCGTCCCTCCCCTGCCAGCACCCTCCTCTAGGTGTTACCTGCTGCTCCAGAGACTGTACCACCTCTCTCTGGAGGAGACACTGTGCCCTGCCCTTTTCATCCAGGAGGTGGTCTGCCTGGCAATGCCTGGGTAGGGAGAAGATTCCATGCAGGTGACCATGGCGGGCCTAGCCTGGCTTCATGTTCTGGGTGGGGATGGGCTCTGACCCTCCAGGAAATCTTTCCTCAAAGCCTCAGCTCCTTCCCCCTCTCTACCTCAGCCTCCCTCTCACACCTGTTATTCCTTCAATATGCGACACTTGGCACTGACTGTGTGCCAGGCCTAAGCTTAGCCAGCATGTCAGAGCTGATGTTGGAAGGGTAGTGAGCTAAGAGTGGGCCAGGAAGGTGAGAGTGGGAAAGGCATTCTGGGTGGAGGGGACAGCTTGTGCAAAGGCCTGACAGTGAAGAAAACAGGGCACACCAAATTGCTGTTAATAGGTGGGTGTGGTCGGAGAAAGGGCGTGAGAGAGAGAAGGCTAAGGGGAGGCAGCAGCAGCCACCTAGAGGAGCTGGGCCTGGGGAATCAATAAAAGGCTGGTGTGTTGGTATGAGGGGTAGCAGGGCAAAACAGGAATGCAGATTCTGGAGCCTGGCTGCCTGGGTTCAGACCCAGCTCTGTCACTTAGGAACTGGGTGATTTTTTTTTTTTTTTATGATAGTGCACGTGTGCACATGAGAGAGGGAGGCACCCTTGGCCAGGGTCTTGTGATGTTGCAATCCCTTTTCTAGGAACTGAGTAGTCTTAACCTCTTCAGCCTCAGTTTCTGTAAAATGGAGGTAACATTGGAGGATAAACACACCTTTATTACACATGAGGAAACTGAGGCCCAGAAAAGCTAAGTAACTTGTCCAGGGTCACATAGCTAGTGAATGATGTAGCTGGGATTTGAACCCACAGCCTCAGCTTTTGCCTCTTTTGTCTTACTATCTATCAAGATGCGGCTTGAGCTGAGACCTGTATCCCAGACCTCCCTGCAAACCATGATACTCTGGACTGGGGTGGGCCTGGGTCACTCACTTGAGGAAGTCCTCTGGTTCCTTGAAGACCTTCTCACATCCAGGCCACTTGCAGATGCCATTTGCCAGCAGTGGGTAGGAGCCCTGGGGCAAGACTGAAAGGGTGCTGGGGAGACAGAGGGTGTCAGGGGAGGAGATGGCAGGGAGAAGGGCCTTCCAAGCCTTGTCTACTAACCTGTCTTTCCTGGGTGCAGTGGGGCTTGGGAAGGTGCAGAGCAGTGCTGGTTCCCTGGACACCCACTCCAAGCTGGCCACATTGATCCCTGGGGATGGAGATGAGGCACCTCTGGGGATTGCAGGCTGGCTCTAGAGCTCAGCCCACAGGTCTCTTATTTAGTTTCCATTCTCCTGAGCCTTGAACACTGACTCCCAGGGGTTTCTGTTGTCCCAAAATCTACTGCTTCTGGTGGAGCAGCTCAAAGACTGCCACTTACAAGTGCTGACATTTTTTGACTAATTTTGCAAAGATCTGTGGTTCCGTGACTTTGACATTCTACATCTTTAAGGTTCTAAACCTGACATTTTTTTGGAGGTTGGAGTTTCCAAGACTCTAAGACCTGATACCTCTGACCTCCAGAGGGCTGTGATCTACAACAGCCTACGTTGATTACATTCAAGGATTTGGGGGCCCTGGGGTTCTCTGAAACCATGGGGTGCAGGCTGAGGTGTTACCAGGTGGCAGGCCAGTCCGGGCCTTGAGGGAGAAGACTCCGGCGGCAGCAGTGGGTGGCGGGAGGCTGATTGTGGCTGGGGGCTCCAGCGGGAGCGTCTGTAGCCCGGGGGGGCGGGGG